ATATTTTTTATTATTATTATTTTTTAATATTTTTTATTATTATTATTTTTTAATATTTTTTAAAATTATTTTTTAATATTTTTTTATTATTATTTTTAATATTTTTTTATCATTATTTTTAATATTTTGTTTGATTATTATTTTTAATATTTTTTTTTATTATTATTTTTAATATTTTTGTTATTATTTTTAAATTTTTTTTAAATATAATTTTTAATTATTTCAATTTATATACATATAACTTATTATTGTTTATCTTTATATTTTATGTTTAAGCAATTTGTGTGTAAATATATTTAATTAAAATGCTGTCATTTGCTACTATTTTATTTATTCATATCATTTTGTCGCTTTTTTCCACTGACATTTCGAATGCCTGTTCGATTTTAGCTAAGCGAATTATCTTGCTCAATCATATGTGTCTATGTGTTCAATCAAGAAAAGTCCAAAATAAATATTAAAAGTGAATATGAATGCTACGAGCGCGTATATTATAATCGCATATTAAATAAATTATATACTCAAACTAAAAGGAAGCGTACAAATAATAAATAACCGCCGATTTAAAAGTTCTAAACATATTTTATAGATTTGTAACAACTAAATAATTAATATTAGCAATATAAAATGAAAATAAAATAGAGTTGTGGTAGCTCAAAATATGTTAATTAACGAAATACATAGACTAAAGCGTAATAGCATGTTTTTATAGCAAATTAGATGCAAAGCAAAAATCTGAACAAAAAAAAATAAAAAATTAAAATAACAACTAACTTATAGTCTAGTATTTAGGCATAACAATATTCCTGCAAATTTTAAAATTTAAAATATAGCCAAGCGAAGAGTAAAAATACATAAAAAGACGCACAAATGTTACTAAACGCATATCCCATAAAAATATCCAGAACTGCTCGAACTTAAGAGAGCAGACGCAACGCTTTGCTTGCATATTACTTTATACAAATAACTATATAACTATAAATATCAGTATTCAATTTATTAAAATAAATAATTTCATAAAAAATCTAAATTTTTTGTGAGCAAAATACTCAATACAGTAGTGTTAAAAATGTTATTTGGATTAGGCTATTGCTGAGTTTTGAAAGTATGTAAGCGTATTTTGCTTGCATTTGTAGAAAAGTACTAAAAAATAAATATGTAAACGGTGTCGTAAAATGTGCTCAAGGAAATGCTTTTTGGCTTGCTATTTTTGTTGAACTTAAACCAGAGAATGTTAATGAATAGAGAAGGCGCAAATGTTAGGATTAACGTTCTCTGCTTAAACATATCATATCATTCAAGCTGCAAACAAACTGCAAATTATCAATGGAATTTCAAAAATATCACTCAACTTATAAGAAGTACATTCATATACATTTGATATATTATATAACATTATATATAATATAATTTATTATGTGTGTAATCGACGAAAAATGCTTGTAAACAAACTAATACGCGCAAAATGTGTTCAACGACTGTTATTATTATAGCTAGCCATAAATATGTTTAAGATAAATGCTGAATATTATAGGCGCTTTTTAATATTTTTTTTTTTTTCAAAAAATTTGAATGGTTTTTTTTCGAACAAAATGTTTAATTTTTTTTTTTAATATATATGTACATATATATATTTTTTTAATTTTTTCGAAAAAGTTTTGAATTTTTTTTTTGAAAAAATTTTGAAAATTGAAATGTTAGTAAAAAAATTATTTTTTTAAGTTTTATTTAGATGCAGATTTTTTTTCGATAAAGTTTAAATTTTTTTTCGACAAAATTTTGAAATTTTTCTAATGTTACGTAAAGAAATTATTTTTTGAAGTTCTATTTAGGTGCAAATTTTTTTTCGAAAATGTTTTGAATTTTTTTTTTCTAAAAAAGTTTTGAATTTTTTCTCAAAAAAGTTTTGAATTTTTTTTCAAAAAAGTTTTGAATTTTTTTTCAAAAAAGTTTTGAAGTTTTGTTGTCGAAATTTTTGTATAGTTTTTTAGGTATAGAAATAATTTTTTTTTAAGTTTTACTTAGGTTATGTAAGGCTTACTTGTTGTTGGTAGCATATACAAATATACATAAATATAACAAAACTATTTTATGCTAGTTCTACGTGTTGCGAGCGTATGGAAAGTAAGTTAGCATCACTATTGACGTTCAAATAGCGAAATTGCCGAATATTATATAGTACATTTATAAAAATAAATAAATTAATATGCACTCGAAAAAGCTTTGTTTAAAAAGCTGTAGAAAACAAAAATTATTCGGAGTTTTATTTTGGAAAATAAATTTGATTTAATTTATTTATAATTATTTAAATTGACTACACGTATTTCAATATAATACACACTCAAACACACAGTTATAAACAATAAAAATTTATCTACAAAAAAATGCTCCTCTAACGGCGTCATCACATGCATTCCACCTGCTGATAGCGCAGACAAGCGCCAATGTTATCCTCCGCGCTACCCTTGCCTAAACCGCTGCCGAAATGCACGCCTATATAGAAGGGCGTCACGGTTGATTCGATGCGACATGGCCACACGCCACTGGAGCAGAATTGTGAGCCGCAATGCACCGGTTCGCAACCGGGCAATGTCGATGAGCCCAGCGGACCCATGCCTATGAAGTCTTCAACAATACAAGGCATGGTCAGCCGATCTGTACAACGCGAATATAGCTGACGCGCGCTCGTCACTGGTCTCACACTACCTCTGCTGTTTGGGCTCTTCTCACCCAACTGCCGGCTATTGCGTCGAAAGCTGTGGAAATCGAATGCGCTGCGCAGGAAACCGAACAAATCGAAGCCTCCACGCACAGGTCCAGGTCGACGCGTTGGGGCGCCAGCAATCGAGTCGGTATCACCTCCACCGGAGCCTTCATCTGCAATGTCATCACTGAGCGTTGTAGAAGAAGTCGTAGCCGGAGTGGTGCTGCTACGCGTGTCTAATGTAGTGGCGCTACTGCTGCTGGCCGGTGTTTCCGATGTAGCAGCAGGCATTTCGGATGCAGCTGGAGCGGCGGCTTTTTTAAAGCAATAACACGTCCATATACAAATATATGTATATATATTTTTAATGAAAATACTCACATGTAACTTCTGTACTGCCTGGTGGTGCCGCGCTACTACTCGCCGCCTCTGTTGGCATAGTGGCGGCGCTGCTGTCCGTCGCGGTTGTGCTGGCATCCATTAACGCGGCGGTAGTAGTTGTGGTGGCCTCTGACGATGCAGCGCTCGACATCATTGCAGCTATTGTTGTTGCAGCGTCCATCATTTGCAACATATTGGGATCGTCGGCAAGTACTGTAGACTGCATTGTAGGCATGGCATCCATAGCTGGATCGTCGTTAGTTACAGCGCCTGTTGCTGCTCCTCCACCACCCATCATGCTGGTCATTACACCAGCTAACATAGGATCCATCATTAATGCTGGCGCACCCATATTAAGCATGCCTGGTTCCGCAGCGCTGCCTGGGCCAATGCGAAATGATTGCTCATCACACGGCTGGTACATAATTGAACACATAAACTGTTCCTGGCGCATGCAGATGCGATAGTTCTGGTTAGCCAAGTGACGACCGTTCTCAGCGAAATTGAAAGTCTAAAGTGGAGACGTCAGTAAAAAGTGCATATTATAAATTATTTGCTTGGAATAAAGTCATACGCATCGACGCAGACCTGTATGATGCCATCGGTGCCCGTGTGGTACTGCAAACAACCGACCGGCGCCCGTTGACTGAAGGGGATTTGAGCAATGCGTATCTCCCAGAGACGTATAGGTTGGAAGCGTTGCGTAAAATTCATGGCGATCTCAATAATCGGCATGGCACCGTCGCTGCTATTCGGATAGAGCTGACTGAAGGTGAGTGGACGCAGGTTGCCATAGAGAGTTTGTCGAGGAGCAGCAGCGCCACCCACTTCATAATAAACTGTAAGCAGAACACAATTAAATACTTTTGTAGTTTGTTCGCCGATCTCTCGCACTCTCTCGGCTCAACTACCTCAACTACTCACTGTGCTGCCCACTGTTTTGTCCACACAAAGACAGCGCGCCACTTGGACCGCCATTAACTGCAAACACGTCACCGTCGCAGTCGCCAGTTCGTCGATTCGGTTGGCCCATTGAAAAGTGATAGAAGTCTATACGCAGCTGACTAACCTCATTGCTCATAAGTTTGATCTTGTAGTTACAGGGTGCGCTATAATTGCTCGGCATAAAGCTGGGGAATTGCGGCGACACCAAATATGTGACGTTGCTGCTAATGGTTGTGTTGCAACTGGCGATGACTGAATTGTTTAATAAATAACATTTCTTATTTGTTGACATATAAACATTCGAAGATAACGGTAAAGTCTATACTTACTAATGCAACATACGCCAAAGCCCATTGCACAATCACCCTTCGCGATTCCACCTTTGGCGCGGCATTCGTATATGTTGAAGCAATTGCCGATGCGGCGGCCATCATCGGAGAGACACTCGCCGTCCACAGGCACAGGAAACAAGTGAATCACTGGATAAATGTTAACTTATATATAGCTTTGAACACAGTAAATAACTGTAAACAATTTTATATAATATTATGTTTATGTATTCGCTATTTCCGCCCGAACATTCAGCTGACGCTACTAAGAGATATCTTGTTACGTTCAGTTAGCGTTTTGGTAACTTTTTGCTCGCAAATAAACTCTTCAGCTTAATATTTTTGTTTGCACAGCTATTGCGAACGGTGCAAATGCATTTTTATTTTGTATACGGAGAAAGTTTTCACGCAAAAATTTGCATGCGCACAAGGTCACTTACCGCGATTTTGGCGTTTGCTTGGCAGGTCCAGTGTGTCTTTGCTTTCCAAATGTTTTTCAATCGTATCGCCGACTGCAAATAGATTATAATTTGCATAGTTTCGGCTCAGAAATCACCGCCTTCTCATGCTTACCACGCTTTGGCTTGCTTTCTACTTGCTGCTCCACTTGTGTACGGTTAAGGCCACCGGATGTGAGCTCGTGAGACGCATCAAAATCCATACCTGCATATTGAAAGTTCTCAATAGTCTGCAATGCCTGCACTTCCGGCTGCTCCTCAGCCGCCTGCGCAGCTGCGGTGCTCGACAGCTCGATTGCGCTCCAAATATCGATGTGTTGCAGATTAGCTGGCCAAGCGCGTTCAATGCTATGCGTGCCATTTGTGCGCAAATCCGAATTATGCCCAGCGAGACTGGGCGCAGCTTGCACAAGCAATGGCAGTGTGTGCGTATAACAGCTATTTAGCGCCAATAAAGTGCATGCCAAGCGCAATAATGTTGGCAGTGCCAGCAGCCAACGATTATTGAACGAGCTCCACTTTATTGAGTGTTTATTTGACACAGTTCTACTTAAATAGCGAGCATTCCTTGCATTTGCACTTAATACAGGTCGCGCATGCGCGTTTTCACTTTCCATTCTGGCGGCTTCGTTTAAAATGCAAATGACTTCAAATAAAACGTATTTTTCTGCGTTTATTTGATTTGCTTGTTAATTGAAAATTCGCGCGTCTGCACCTCGGCAACGCTCAAAACAAAATGCACGCAGCTTACATTGTTATGACTGTGCTCGGATACTGAGCCACTGAGCCACAGAGCCACTCGGCCGATTGGCTGCTGCCGCGACTAAATAATGTCAACAACGGCAGCCGCAGCAGCCTCCAGCCGCTATTATCGGATATGGTGGTTAGAGTGGTATTAGCTTAACGTTAGACTGCATGCGTGTATGCAGCTAACAACAACAATTACAATATTGACATACTGCCACAAAGCGTCTCGTAGTAAATCGAGCTGCGAAATGAAAGTGGCGGTGAGAGTGTTTCTCGTTTTTAACTCCGCCACCGCTGAAACGTGTTCTTTGAAATTGATTGCTCTAGCCGACACACACACCACTGCCTGCATTCGGCGGCACATGTATCGGCCACAGCACTCCAACCAAGCCGTGGTAGCTGTACATCTAGCGTACAGCGCCAGCTCCCTCTAAATGTTGTTCGCTCGCCACATTACCGCATTTATTTGCTCATCGTTAAGGCGTTGCGGCACACGCTCAAACGGATTGTCCTCGTTTGTCGCCACGCTGATTGATAAGCGGATTTATTAATGTCAGCTTGTTGACATTATGCGTGTTGTTTGTTCTGCTTGTTGTTGTTGTTGTGCCACTCGAAGTTGAACGTTAATTTGTAGTTAAGTTTTTTTTTTGTTGGAGATAAAGTGACATTTTGAACAATAAACGAAAATAATTGAAAAGTTCGTTGCTTAAGTCTTTTGTTTTGATCAGGTGCATTTTGCACTCTACCGGTGAAACATCGTTTTATTATTATATATCGAAGCTTAACGTTTATTGTGTATTTAAGCTTAAAATAAGTGAAAAGTTCGTTGCTTAAGTCTTTTGTTTTGGCGCAGAAATTTGTTGGATTCCTAACTGTTTTATTACTATAACTCACATTTAACGACAAAACAAACACAGAATTTTGATTTTTTTTTAATCTCTTACAGTTATTTTATTCATAAAAAACTTCAGCGTAGTTCTTGCCACAACGGCAGCATACGTTTGTGTAAATAATGAAGTGTTCAGATTTATATATTTTATTTGAGTAAACAATTAGTTATTATCTTAAAGTAATTACTTGTGTAAACAACGGTACTTTTTAGATGCATTTGCTGCTGTGCAATTTTTTTTGTTTTTATTTTTATTTTTTTTGTATAAGTACATAATACCTTACACTAAATATATTTACTATATTTTTTAGACATAAAATCGAAATATAAAACGCAGAAAGCATACAATCGCCAAAGTGGCGTCTTAACGACAGACTAAATACAATTTATATGCTATGTAATATATGACAATATGCGGCAAGAAACAGTTTAAGTCACTCAATTTCATTTACAACAAATTTCTTTAAACATTTTAATGGGCGAAAATCGTATATCTAATGGATGGTTGCATGTAATACTTATTTAATAGCAAAAATAATAAAAAACGTTTGCCTTAACAACTTATGCAAAGTCATCACATGACAATACCGTTAATTAGCGTTTGCGTATGTAAAACATTTGCAGCTGCTGTGCGGCACACAGAGCGCAGTCGTGATAATATTAATAATTAAAGTAATAAAGAGAGCGCGGCAATTTCACTTTCACATGAATTTACATTGGCGTTTACAGTATAAAGTAATTTGCAACGTTTTGCAGGTAGAGACGGTGTGTGATGTGTTCGTAGGTAACTTGTAACAGCACAGTTTTAAATGCAACATCTATGTATGTATGTATGTGTGTATGCATGCATATGACAGCTTAAGTATATACACTAATCAATAGCTTAAAATGCAAACTTAACGCTATTAAAATTTATATAAAAAAAAAAGCTGCAACATGAAGCAATACCTGGACGCAACTACAAATATGCATGCTTTTAAAAATTGACAAACAAGCGAAGGCATAAAAATACGTTATTCAATAAAAATATGTAAATATTTGCTTAAAACGTAAGCGCTTGGAAGTACTGATTGCGTTAAAGCATTACACATGATTTACGCTTCTAAATCTTAACTTATGCTTACTAAACTCGCCATCATTTAAGCGAAGCAAACATTTTCTGCGTTAATACTTTCAACTTATTGCTTAATCTATAAAGAGAATATGCGATTCATTGCTATAAAACAGTTGCACGTTCATAGTAACTACGTTTCCGTCGGTTCCATATGCCTATGTACCGTTACCGGCGCTAGAATATAGCGCGGCGCAGCCATACAGTCTTCGGCCGAGTCGTTTAGCGGCAGTGTCGTCTGTCCATAGACAGTTGCGCTGTCGCCTATGTGACGCGTTGGTGTTACCGCCTGTTGGTACTTCTTCGGTGAGTTTATTTGGTAGCGCGACGCCAACATATCTTTCGCTTGCGTCGGCGCCGGTGCTGGATGATTAAGATATGGATTTTGATAGTGTGGTTGATGGTGGCGGTTTGTTGGGCTCGATATGGAGGTTGATATGGACATTGTGTCGGACTTGCTGTGGCGTTTGTCATGCAGTAGCAGCGGTTCGGCCAGCGCAAAACATTGGTGATCAGAGGAGTCTTCGTGCGGTGTCATAGTGGAGTAACCGTGATCCGATTCACCGTTCGGCGGTCGTCGATAACTGCTGCCTGTAGACATGTGGTAAGGTGAAATGTCGGCGGGATGTATTAGATTGCGCTGGGCGGACGGATGCTCGTAACCACCATTGCCGCCGGGTGGATCGTCATGCGCTTGACAATCGTCGAAATTGAAGCGCGATAATGGTAGACCGTAATTCTCTTCTTGCATTGAATCCACATAGAATTGCTCCTGCGATTGTGCATCCATATTGTGGCGATAGCAGTAAATGGCAAAACCAATTACGAAGGCCAACACAATAATAGCGCCACCCACCGGACCAAAGGCTGAGTATGAGCTGGGCTTTTGTCCAGGATTGTAGCTGTGTGCAGCGATTATATCCACATCGTCCAAGTCACCATACGGTGTAAGTGAGGAGAGCACGCCTATTTACGAAAGTATATATGAGTATTCAAATAATAAATTTAAAATATATGCGTTTCGCACTCACCATTAAAGCAAGCTGCCTGCGCGGCACAAAAGGACGCCGTAAAGCCATTTCCGTCTAGATCTTGCTGGCACCATTCACAACCCATTACTCCGAGACACTCACTCTGTGTGCCATACACATCACAATTGATGCTGACGCACGAATGCAACAGCTGATATTCTGTGCTGACCGGCGGTAAGGCAATGAAATGTTCGCTGGGCGGTTCGCAATACGAAAACTGTTGTGTGTAATTTAGAAAACGTGCTATAGACGACTCCGCGGGGTACGCATGTTTTGCGCCAACAACGCCATTGAAAACCTCCATTTCCATGGGGCACTCACACGGGCACTCGCAGTCCATCTGATCCATACGATTACAATTTAAACAGATGCGATCAATCGTGCTGCAGGGACAGAAAGCACCACCGTCGCAGGTTGAATTGAGCACTGCGGCAAATATGTTGCTGCCATAGATCAGTGCGATGGCGTATTTAGTGCGTTCGCCATGCACTACATTCGTGAGAATATCGCTCAGCGAGGTGTTGAACACGTAGTAGCGTTGCAGCGTACGATTTTGGTAGTTTGCACAGGCGAGTTTACGCACCAGTGATTTATGATTGAGTATATCATTGGCTAGATAGGATTCCTTGTGTGTGAGGTGCTCGTGTGGCCGGCGTTGGTTGCGTGTTTGTGTACTCGCTTCTAACATACTCGGATGCGCTATAAGATAACCTTCGTTTTCGAAGAGCAGACATTTGATATGCTTCATCTGACAAAGCGGCGTTGAGTCAAGTATCATTTTGTAATAGTATGCATAGGGCAGGTCTAGAGCAACAATAGCTACCGGTTCATCGCGTTCAACCGAGTGCAAAGCATTTGATTTGCCCTCGAAAATTGTATGCGCAATGGTGACGATGTACCCGGCGCCGCCAGCATCCAAATAGGGTTCGGTTGTAATAATTTTACCAGGCTGTTGTAGAGCCTTGCGGAACCATGGCCGTCGTGTTGGATCATAATTGGTGCTAAGCAAACAACCCGGGTAAACTTGCAGCACGCCATTTACACTGGCTATGTAACGGCGTATGATGTAGTTCTTGAGTGTGCCGCGTGCATCTTGATGTCGTTTCTTTAAGTGTTGCATGGCATTATAGAGCGCGCTCACTTCTTGACGTATTTGTGGTCGCAGACCTGGATTGGCTAAGAGACCAGTGGTGTCCTTCAAGTAAGCCATTATACTCTCTACCGTACGAATTTGTGCGCGTGGCGAGTTCACACGATTGTTGTGTAGAAACGTGAAGGGCGACATGAAAGCGGAAGCGCTCAAGAAAAGCGTGGGAGTATCTGAAAAAATACATTTAGCATATTTCATGCTTGAGTTAATACAATTAACATACCCATAGTGGCCACTTGACGAAAGTAACGGCATGCCTGACCATTTGAGGGCGGCAGCAGATCCAGCCGGTGATAAAGCAATTCCATGCTTGAAAAATAGTCATAATTATTGTTGTGGAAGCGCGCTGTATTATCCTTGGTTATGCTGAAACGCTGCAAGTTTATTGGCAAACCGGCTGGCACTTGTAGAGTTGCTGCACGCATGCTGTTATCAATATTTGCAGGCGTGGATGAGTTGCTGAGACTTGTTTCTGCTTTAAAAGTAGACACGAGGCACAGTATATAGATACCCAATATAGACTGCCATTGATAAATTCGTTCAAAAGACTAAAATTAGTTAAAAAAGTTTAAATTAAAAATTATATGCGTATGTTATTTTATTTTCATTGCCATACCTCAATTCTCCGATCCCTGGTGAGGTAAACGTTCGTCGTTAGATTTCCGCGCTCTTCGTGTAGAATTTGTTTTCTCGTATATGCAAAATCTGTTGAGTTCTCCAAGAAGGCTATATCCACGGGAAATGGTGTCTGTTGCTGTGTCATGGGGCGTGGAAATGCCGGATGCGCTATAGTTATACCGTTACGATCAATAAGGAATGCGTAGCTGAACTCATTTTTATTGGCGTTTTGTGTTGGTTGCCCATAGCTGATTACATCCTCTATTAAATCGGTAAGATAAAGATTAACGCCCACTAAACCGAAAGGAGGCACGGCATGTGTGACCGATACAATAGCGTCTGTAATGCGTATATATATAATTATGTATAATTGCTGATTTCTTATACTATTGTAGATAAGTTTTACGTACCACCACTATTTGGCTCCACCACAGGCAGCTGCACCTCCAGACTCTGGCTTAAATATCGCTCGCTGAATGTATGCTGAAATAATGCAACGCACAAACGCATCAGTTCGTCCGTTTGCGTTTTAGTCAGCACGAAAAATGTCCCCACCAATTGTTGGAGATCAGCAACATTTTCTAACCATTCGTTTACTGGTATTTTGTACTTAGTGTAGTTTTGTGTGGCGATATCAGCGAGAAATTGCTTCTCATACATTATGCGCTTTTCATCGGTGATCACTGCGCATGTGTGTATAACTATTGGATCTATGAGTTGACGCTGGCCGTTTGCAATCACTTGTAGCACATGCATCGTGTCGGAGAGATTGGTGAGTAGACCACGTGTTGCGTAAATAAATTGTATCGGATTTTGTTCCGTTATCACACTGATGTTCTGCAGCTGATATAGCATTTGGAAGGCATATTCGAAGCCGAGCGAATGGTTTGTTTGGCCTTTTGTAACGGCAAGCGAGTGTATATAGTTCAGAATCTCTTCTTTTCGCGCTCGAGTCGCATAAAAGACGCCGGTTGCTGCGTCGTTGGGATAGGTATCGAATTGCATAATATGTGTTTCATCGGATACGGTCGCTATGGAAATTAGATCGCTGGGCGATAGCAGTTGCAAGATATTTGCAGCTGAAATTAAATGGAAAAATCATGAATATCGTACTTCTTTTTTAGTTTTATTAAAAAAATTACCCAATGCCTTCGTAAGTTCTAGCAATTCCATATTCATAGCCGAACCGACGTCTAGTAATAGAAAAACGTATTTATTTTTTATGGACGTTACATACAATTGCTGGAAGTAATTGTCTTCGTAATAGCGTGTACGCAGATCTTCGGCATGATCGCAGCGCGATAGGAAGTATATATGTTTAAAGTGGTTTCCTAGGAATTTTAGTTTCGCATTAGTTGTAGTTGTTGTTGAGGCGGTGCTGCGCACATTTGTCGATAATTTAGTTAACTCAATGGAAAAATCACTTTTCATTAATACATTCTTCAAATTTTGTAGTTTTTCGAGTATGTACGCATTGGCGCGCGCCTCAAAGGAACCTTCATCCATAAAATAGTTGGTCTGTTCGAAATGCTGAAAGTACTGTGATTTATGGCTTGGTAAATCAGTTTTAAGATAGTTTAGGATTTGTATTTGTTGCTTGTTGTAATTCGATTCTGCAATTATTTGCCTATTGTTGGCATTGCTTTGAAAAGCCTGTATGCATGAGTGCAAATACAAGCGCAAATTACGCGCGCCATGTGCTGTGTTCACTAAACCATCTAATTCATCGATTTCAACATCAAATTCGTCCTCTTCACTTTCAACTCCGCTTTCTTCATCATCTTCATCTGTCTCCGTATCATCTGCCTCAGTATCGACATCGTCGTTCTCATCACCATATTCGGTTGTCTGTAGATGTTGCTGTAGCAGCACTTTTGTAATGTTGGTACGAAAGAAATCTCGCAGTTCCAGCACTACATGCGTCGCTTTTTGTAGCTTCTTAGCGAGTCGCTTGGCGAAGATCTGCAAATCTTGTTCTAGTGTGGCGGACAAAGAACTGTACTGTGCGTCGCTACTATTCTTCTGTGCGCCCAGGTTGAGTGCGGCGCTATTGCCACTAAAATGCATCGAATCAAATAATTCCTGCAAAAGCGAGTGTTTTAGTTTGCGTTATTTGAAATTTTTTTCTAAAAACTTACCTGTATGGTCGCAATACGCATTTCAACATTACGTATAATCCTCAAACGCGCGTCTATGTTGCGTACCAGCTCCAGCACATTTTGTTGATTATGATAGTTTGTGAAAAATACGCTGGCTGAAGTTTGGGTGAATGGCGAAGAAGCCGATGGTACGGTAATACTGCTACTTACAGCGCCAGCATTAGATTCCACACTTATATTGTGTCTCAAAGGCACTTTTTGAGGCGCCACACTGGTTGAGGACGGCTTCGGCACCGGCAACGCATTGGTATTCACAGTGACAAACTCCTTCGCCACTTTCGGCAACTCAGTGGTTACTTTATGATATGCATTAAAGCTAGTATTACTTAATAATAGAGGAACATTACTGTTAATGTAATTAGTAGTATTTGCATCGGAAGTTGTAGCTGTGTCACTGCCATCGAAATCATTAAGCACCACTGCGTCACAGCTGAAGAGCAAAATCAGGACAAATATCCACTCCATATTGCTTAGCATTATAGGCATTTATTTTGTTGTAAATCACATATAACCAGCTACTGAAATGTTCTGTAAATAAATTCCATTATCATTCGCGGGTCGGTTGATACGCTGTAAAAGGAGAAGTATATATTTTTAGACCATTTAAAAGAAAAGTTAAACAAAACTGGTTTGTGAAGCAAGTCTGTTTTTTGCCGCTTGCACATGTTAGTTGTTTGTTGGTGAAAATAAGATGAAAATTTAGTCAAAATATTGTAAATAAAGTAGCTACAATTTATTATTAGGGTATGAATAAGTGAAGCTTCAATTCATGTTTTTTTGTAAAATTTTAGAAAAAATTTCTTAGATGCTTATTTTCGCTCATCTAACAAGCAACTGCATACATACATAGATAGCGCTATGAACAAAACTTATTGCGGCCGTAAATAAGCACAAATCGCGAAATTAAATGTAAATATTTATGCTTATTTCGCTTTCACACACAATTCGAGTTATATATATAGCAACAACAACACATGTAGAACATATACGCGGCAGACTTCAATCACGGACTTGTTTTGTTACCTTTTATATTTTTTCTTGTGCTGACTTTTTTGTTTATTTATCTATTTCCTTTATAGTTTGCCGCTTCGTGCAGTACATTCACACAAACTAACATACACCAAAACGAAAAAAACAGTGAAAAATTCATTGACCATGCCTTCACTTCATTGGCTTCTGATCACTTTGGACTTATCCATTTCAAACTCCATTTAACACATAATTATCTGAAAATGATTTTAATTACAGTTTCTAATATTTTTACAGAAAATAAAGGTTTCTTTTTTTCAATAAAATGTAAAAATACAAATATGTACTCTACTACCGTACTATGCGCAACCAAGCAATGAAAAACAGTGCTATACTGCGAATGTCATATGAAGCATAAACTGATAATTGTGATAAGCAAAAGCAAACCAAAAAGTGGTGGATTTTGGATTTAAAGTTCTTGTTAAAAATTGGGATTTTCTTATAGCAACGGTAATGATATTTAAAAATTTACAACGATAATATCATTAATTGCCTAAAACTGTCTTCACTTTGTTTATTGCAGTTGGTATCTAACAAATTATTGAGTATGGATCTTTTAATCGAATAAATTCGTTTGTTGAAATTTGGCAACCTCAAAGCTCTTCGGTATTGCGCTTTGTTTTCTTTCCTTCCTCTTTTAATTTTTGACAGCTAGCTCAGTGGAAAATGTACCGCTTTCCGGTGGCGTCAGTAACTGATTTAAATTCTATTTCTTCTAAAAATTGTAAATGTAATACAAAGCTCAACTAATGTGGACCTCTTTAAGAACCGGCATTTCTAGTAGTCATTCGCACTTTTTTTTCAAAATTTTTTTAATTGAAGTGTTGCGTAGTGAAATCTTGCTATGAAAAACTTATTTTGTCCAATAAGAAAACAAACACAAATCATTATAACTAAAAGATATGTACATATTATGTATATTTATTCATTTACACTTTTACTCATAACACGATTATACAACCAAATTATTATATGCCGCATTTAACGTAAACCTTGCTTTATTTCTTAACAATTCTCACTAATTGCCCATTGCTGTTGGATTTAAAAATCGGATCGTTAATTTCACCTACAGGCATATACTGCAATTGTGCAGTGAAACCACCATTCCTGCGTGCTTCCTCCTCACTTTGTGTAGTTGTGAAACGCACGAATTGCAAGCGATTATCCGGTCCTAAAACATAATATTGACCTCGAGTCGCACGTGAGGCGGGGTAGCCACCACTTGTTTTCTTTGTACCGTCAACGTTAACCTCCTGCACATCAGCCTCTGATGCACCATCAGCACTACTTACTGCATCTGCTTCGAGTTGACGATTGTACGCGTCTTTGGCTGCATTAAGTGCTTCGATGGCAATACGTGCTGCTTCCTCCAATTCAGTATCCGCTTGTCGTGGCTCTAAATCTTGTGGATCCGGATAGTTAATGGTAAATTTTTGCTCGCCTCCGTTGCTTGGTGGCCCATAAGTTTGTGCTGGCCGAGATAATGCAGATTGTTGTTGCACGCCGAAAGCGAAGTTTGTAGGTTCTTGTGTACGAAAAGCACGTTGTGCACCTGGTTGTTGTTGTTGTTGTTTGGTGTTAGATATTTGAAAGATATTAGTCTTCTGTTGCCGATATGGCCGGTAGTCAGCGGCATGCAAAACGAACTGTGGTCCTGGCTTCTGGTAGGGTGGGCGCTGTACTTTCAAGTCAAAATCAGTGCTCTGCCTTCTTGGTGGCAAGTATGCATTAGCCGGTCGCCTATTAGGCGAACTTAAAATATTTTCTTGTATTTGTCCTACATATTCAATACGCGCTTTATTGAGTTCTACATCAAATATGGGTTGTTGTGGTTGTCTTTGTTTTTCAATATCACGTGTTGGAGGCAAGTAGTCAGTTGGCAAGTTAAAAGCGCGCAGCGGACGCCAACCTGTAGCGGGATATGGCGCTTCAGCAAGAGCACAGGTAACAAATAGTAAACAAATAACACCGGTCTGTGGAAGAGAGCGAAACATTTGGTTAGAACTTTAGCTTTCTTGTTAGAATTTACCGAAATGCTGTACATTTGGTACATTTGTTGGAAAAAACGTTTTAATACATTTATTATTTCAAATCAGTGCACTAAATCCTAACCGTTAATATATTTAATCAGCGTTTAGCAGAACACCACTAAATTTTTTGCACTTTTTAATAAATTTGTTTTGAAAAATAAGCTCTAAATATATTACAGCATTTAATTTATATGAGTTCTGTATTTTACACATATTTGTTTTGTTGTCACCAACCTCAAAGCACAACATTTTTCGACTGTTTTTCGCACCGCAACACAACGAATATTACCGACAACTGTTTTCGTGCAATCCAACAAAACACATTTTTATACCCAAAAATGCACTTAATATTATGAATATGCATAAAAACTGCAATGCAAAATATAAAATTTATTAAGCTTCGAAGAGCTAAATTGTAATAATTGAAATTTTAAGCACGTCATAATCGAATGCACTAAACTGTGCTAAGGTGCTATGCATAATGTTCTCTGCAATGTTGCTGATGTCAACGCGGCCGATAATAAAAGGGTGGGATTTACGCATGTGCAAATTATAATAAAATATTGTAGTAACATGCAAGCTTGCTAATAAAACAAATGCAATGTGCACCGATAACTGTGACAACAACAACTTAAAAAGAAGAAAACTTTAACCGAAAATGGCTGCATCCTCAGAGTGAACGCTCTTGAATATTAATTTTTAGTTTTCAGCGTAAATTCGCGTACATATTGTTTGTATATTGTTATTTGTATGTATGTACGTATTTCTTGTTAACGTATTAGCACCGTGTATGTGAGTGTGCATGTGTTTTTGTGTTATTTGCGGTGTTGTCACGTATTTTACTTATTTATTTTAAATTAAATTTGTGTACACTAATTTGTTATGCGATTGCTCAGATAAAGCACTTGCACATAAGTACTTGTGTATATGTATATATATTATATATACTAAACAGTGTATACGCGAATTAGTCCCTGAGCATTTAAGATATTGATCTGCAATTTTGCGCCCACACTTTTCTCCCCAAGAAGCTGCTCATTTGTCGGAAACGCCAATATCGGATGACTATAGCATAAAGCTGCCGCACAAACTGAACGGTGAGAATCAAGTGCTTGTATGGAAAACTTTTTCGTTTGACGAGATATTTTCACGAAATTTGGTATGGCTTATTGTCTAATGCAACAGTGCAAGTTCCAAGTTTCAATTGTTCAGATCGAGTCACTATAGCATATAGCTGCCATACAAACTAAACGTGCGGAATCAAATTATTGTAAGAAACATTTTGTATTTGTGAAGGGTGTGAAGGGTAGGGCTATGTTGTAAGTAGTTGTTGTAATTATTATCGCTATATATATATAAGTATGTAAAGAAGCACACATCAGCTTTTATATCAATAGGTACAATTCAGGACATTTTCCTCTTGAACAATTAATCATTATCCATTTCATTTATATCTATAAAACTTCTACTACATAAAATTTCAAAAAAAATCAAAACATGTAACATTGAAAAAAATAAAAAAAAATGTAGTTTTTAACACATAGAATTGCATAATCGAAACTGATCGTAACTGTATTTTAACAGCATATACTTAAGCCCTACTTGACATATACATACCTAAACAAAGTTTTTTCTAGACTAAAAAAAATTTCCAGTATAAACTAAATCTTTAATAACTGAACATACAAGCACATACACGACAAATGGAGCTGCGTAAAGTGGACGGACAATTAAATTAATATGGTTAGCGCGGCTACTGGCCCTGCTACAGCATTTCGCAGCCATAAGTAGCATATACATAAATATACAAATGTTTATGTAAATAAGCAAGCATATATGTATGTATGTATATATTATATACAATGCGAATGTCTGGTAGCGCCACCAGTCTTTGACCTTTCCTTGTCTTTTACCAAATTCAGCTTCAACTTGGCCGTCAATGTCGAGTGTGTCAATTAAAGATGAGTGCGCAAGTTGTTTCTTGTTTACACTTGTTCTGGCATGTCTTGTCGTGGTTTATTATTGTTGATGCATGCATACTACATACATACATACAAACATACATAAATGTATAATTATTTAATAGCGGTAAACGGCACGACAAGAGAAGTTGTGCGAAAATATATAGTGTTATATTGTCAATTGCTACTTTTGCCAAAATATTTACCACCAATAAATACATATAATAATTATTTATGTTTTATCAAAATTCTCGTTTGCTCTTTAATTGTTTTTGTCAAATTTAAAAGTGTTATTGTTATTATTGTTTAATAATTTTAATTATTGTGTTTTAAAGCACTTAAAATTTCTGCAATAATTTGTAACAACAATCGTGCAAAGCAAAATTGCAATTAATAACTTAGCCGTGTGCAAAAAACACTTGAATTTCAGCTTTGACTAATTGAGGGTTGCATATCCGCGTGCTATTTGAGTGCCCCTTACAGCCTATTTAACTAAAGACATTGCACCCGCTAATTTAATATTGTAACAATATACCATATGTATGTTCAATAACCATTGTGTGCGCACAAATTGGTTTAATTGAAATTGCTTCGAAATTCGCTCGAATAAAATGCGTCTGCTTTATTGCCTATAATTTTGAGATCTGATATGATCATTACGCCTACTTGCCACAAACACAAATTGTTTTTGTTTTTTTTTTCTAACAAATATTCATACTTAAGTGCTGCTATTAAACGGCAAGTGCACACATACATACACACATTCGAATATTGTATTTGCTCTCGAGCTAAAGCTGCACTTTGTGAGCACTTGTGTGAGGAAATATGTAATCAATTTTTATTGCATTTTATCTATAAAGTAATTTTTTTGTTAAATCGTGGCAATTTCAACACGGCAAACGTCATAACCTACACCAAAAATGCAACAAAAAATTAAATTATGTAGTTTTGTACAGCAACAACAAAGTAATTGTAGCACAACGCCTGTGGCAACATAAAGCCACAAACATAAATGCTGCTGATGAAGCGCATCCTCTTGTGTATATGAGCAGGCAGCTACAGTTGTAAGCGTTTATATATGTATGTACGTATGTGTTTATGCGTGATTTTTTATCTTTTGTAATTATTCATCGATAGTGTGGCGGCAAAATACGTATTAAGCGCTTATAACAGTTTGCCACTTCAACTTGTCCGATTGTGTAATGAGTTTGAGATTGCGCCAACGCTTGGCTTGTAACGTCGTTCGCTCATGCCTTGACTTGTAGCTATTTATACACATTTGATACTCGTACATCGACACATAAGCTGATACAGTTAAATGCCTCTTGACATCGTTTTTGAAAGCAAATTTTTTTCTTTTACATTTAACTGCTCATAAATTTTATTCGACTGTCATATTTAAATTTATTGCCTCTCATTTAATGACGCTTGGAGTGTGGCCAGGGAATTTTCCAAAACTTTAAATCACTTAGCTTGCACCAAACTTGCTGCATTAAGCTGAAAACACCACTACTGAAAGTAATATTGTAGAAAGAAATTCAAACAGACGCTGATCGTCTGCTATTTAAGAACTTAAAGAACTTTAGCACGAGCTTTTTCAATTTACAAATCCAAAACTATATTTCTAATAGAAAACTGGTTTGCTGTCGTATAGTTTACAGCCTTAAATCTATTTTTGCTGTAATAAACATGTGGTACTCGTAGTCGAACTCCACCCTGTTTTGGCTTCTACTTCGGAATTCGTCCATTTTTTATCTTTTACAGTGTGATTTGACTTTTCTTGCAGATTTTGCTTCCTGGCTTTCTGTATAAGCTTCTGGTTCATCCACAAATTATCTACGTGTTTCTATGAGCTTTCACTCTAAAAGCTCTAGCTTTTCATTCACTTTATAAAAAAGCTCGGGAGCAAGCATAGGTTATTAGGTGTGTTTCTAATTCATTCAATTTTTTTCTCTTCAAAATGAAAGACAGGACTATTTTTTAAACTTTGTTTTATACAAAAATGCTCTTTATTGATATTTTTATGACATGCACAATTGTTCTGGCTTACACGTTATTACATTATTATCTATTGTTGTTGCTTCACAATGATAAGTATTTTTGTTTTGTTTTTGCATTTATAATATAAGAAATTGATGAGTTATGTGTTTCCTCCTAAGTTGAAGGCATGCATGTGTATGTATAGATGAGGGTATGTATGTATGTGTATGCTGGTATTTTATACAAATTGTATGCTTTTGTGTTGTGAGTTTTCAAAAGCTGCAGTTGAAATATACTAAAATGAGAGTGCTTATTGGCTAAGATAGTTGGAGATAGCTGCTACGTTTAACGAATAACAAATTTTACAACAAATGTGTTCCGCCGCAAAGCGCTGTTTTTATTGCTGTTGGTAGTGTCTCGAATTCTGTTGCTATGATTTGTAGTTGTTTGGCGACGGCGGAAACAAATGGCAAGTGACGGGCATCGTTTGATTGATTAGTTGTCGTATGCTTTGTGGAGTTGCGTTAAAGAATCAAGTGAGTTCTTGTCGTTGTTGTAAGTGGCAGTTAGAAATAGCGACGAAAGAGGCTAGCAGATAATGTAACTATTTGACGCTCACACACAGTTCGTAAGCGGCGGGTGGTGTAATGAGATGAAAGTGAAAGCTTTTGTGCGGCGCCTTCGCAGCGCTTGCAAAGCACGCACACTTACGTATTAAATGAAGCTTATAATCTCAACTGTTTGGCTTAAACTAACAATGAAAACCAATGAGAACTAAAAAAGGAGGAAAAATAACCAAAAACGTATTAAAAAAAACTTATGCACTTGGCGATAGGCCGCGCAAGTCATGGAAAATGCTATATAATACATGATTTCATCTCTAATCACTATCGCACATACTCTCTCACTCTCTGGCTTTCTATTTCTCTACACAACGCCAAACTACACTTCAATCTCTGGCAAAAATCGTCTTGTTTAACGATACGCATAAATGGCTGGACACCTTATTGGTAACCAGCGAATTGACCACCCTGACCGCCACGTCCACCGGCGGCAGCATTGCCGTTGAAACCGTTGTTGACCTGCTCGTAACGAATGGTGGGACGGTAGCCATGTACATCAGCCTCGTAGTCGACGATCTGTTTGCGACCATCGGGCAAGAGCACGTAGTAACGGCCAATAGCCAAATCACCATCGCGTTGTTCCATGTGTCCGAAGTCATTGCCGGATTCGTAGTCTTGTACGTCATATTTGAATTCGTATTTAGCTGGTCCGTATTGTTCCTCGCCACCATAACCGCCATTGCCGCTGCTGCTGCCGCTGCCATAGCCGCCATTACCGCCTTGCTGCTTGGAGAAGATTGCACCAGTCAGAGCAGGTGCACCATATTGCGAGCTGGGAGCAGCTGGAGCACCGTATTGTGAGCTGGGCGCACCGGCAGCGGGCGCGCCGTAACTGGTGCTGGGTGGTGCGCCAGCAGCACCGCCGTTACGTTGTGGCGGCAGGTAGTTGCTGGAGGGCGACTGGTATGACTGGGTGGGCGGCAGGTATTGACCTGAGGGCTGTTGGCCGCCTTGGTTGGGGGGCAAGTATTGGTTTTGGGGCACTGGTGGTTCGGCACGGGCGAGCGAGACGCAGGCAAGGAGAGCTATCGTTACGAAGCACTGTGAGAATGAAGACAAACAAAAGAATTAGCAATTTACAAAAGTTACAACCGGCACAGTTATGCAGTTAAGTTTGTGCTGTGATAGCTTAATTAAAATTTTAATAATATTTTACGCATGGAAATGTGTGATCTCAAGCGTTTAATATGCTTAAAAGTTACTCCATTATTGTCGTAATATCCAATTAAGAACCGCTACTCACTCCCACTCGCTTATCTGCTGCACACATCTTGCACAGCACATTTTCAATTAACTTTTATAACCCATTGTGGATTAAACTCATCGTTATTGTTTAGCTAATTGTATTACATGAAAATTCATAAACTTAATTAACATTTGCATTGGCGCGAATATGAGGCAAATCTGCTTGAAAAGACAAAAGAGGGCAAACTACTCAAAATACTACACGTGAACGCTGTCAAACAAGTGCAAACAATGGCAATTAAGTTGTCAGATCTAATCTAATAAATCTGTCAGATGCACAGCGATAACGTGCCTAAGACGCTGCTAGACGCCGCGAGACACCCAAGGCGACTGCTGCACCGCCGCCGCCACAGCGTCTCCATTTCCAACTGTTATGGCTGCAATGCGGCGTTCGGCTGGCAAAATAGAACTGCGCCGAGCAGCGAGTGAGCCGGAACGCTCGCGGCAATTTACATGAGCTGTGCAACTTGTAATTAGAGGAAATTAACATTTTATGCATGACGATGACAGTTGCGCTTTGCGACAGTCCATGCGCTGCAGCGGTGCGGTGTGAGCGCGGCATGGAGCTTAAGGCTGGTAATGCGATACGGACCAAGCGCTAAGAGCGCGCGCAGCCGCAGTCAAGCAAAAAGCGACAAACACCTGTTGACGCTCTTCAAGCGCCGCTAAATCGAAGCGTAGCAGTTGCTGCTTTTGCTGCGGCTGCTGCGCATGCTAATTCGCTGTTGTATTTTGTAGGCCTGAGACAGCGTCGCAGCGGCGTCGCGCATTTGAATGAGCGATTGCAAAATTTTGACTATTTTCGAACTTATTTTTCCTTTTCGCAGAGAATTTGGGTAGGAAATAAGTTGGGTTGCACAGCAACGGCGCGACAAATTGTAAATGCTGGCAATTGGGTCGTCAAGAAATGTGCATGAAGCAAGAAATGCAGCGCGGTGAGGCGGAGGTGGCATTGTATGAATGCAGTATTGCAAAGCGCCAGGCAATTGTTGGAGCCAGCTGAGTTTTGTATGGAGATGCTTAAGCGCATCAAATTAAAAAAAAATGCTAATTATTTTTGCGATATTGCATTTGCTGGCAGCATGTGACTGTCGGCGGGCTAATTAAAAATTCCGCCGCATATGATAACTTTGGAACGGTTAAGTCGAGAACATATGTACGCTCTGCTTCATTCATTTTAATTTATTGCATTGCCGTTATCTTCTACACGTTCTGGGAAATACAATTAAAGCGAAAAACGTTGTGTTGCAATAGATGTAATTGAGCGCTGCTTTGCTGCCACAGTTTGTGGCTGCAACTAAAAAAAAAATATTACAAATTTGAAAGTGGTGCTTCATTAGTTGCAGCGTCAGGCAGCGCTTTAATGAAGAGCATACCAAAAACAATTTTCAATAGCATAAGCCTAACTCTTTGCGTATTTGCAGCGTTTGTTTTGCCACAAACACGAATAGTGAACGTGTAGCATTCTAACAAGTGCGGCAAGGTCTGTAGTTGCAAGCAAGCGTTAGTTGTCATTCTTAATTGAAAGTTGACCATGCGGCTGGCTGGGAACGTGCTGCCGAATTTTTTTTCCTACGGCCATATAAATCATTTTGATGACCATCAGCGACATCTTTATATGTCATTCCTTTAACTGCCACTGGCAGTCAAGCGGCAGTTATAATTTTTGCTTCTTTGCCGCTTTATGTGTGCTCTGCAGTTTTTTTCGTTTTTTTTTCTTCTCATTTATGTTGATTAACTGTTAAATTGTTTTAAGCAAGTGTTAATTGTGTTAGTAATCAACTGTTACGCTTAAGTAAGTGATTTTAACACTATCGTAGGAAATATACATAGTGAGTTCGAGAAGAATGTCTCCGTTGCATAAGGCGGCTGATTTTAGCATATAAAAATCGTAAAAATCGGGGTGTGTCAGTATAACAACTTTTATCATAACAAGCAACGATTTTTATAATTATGTAACTTGATCGCACTACAAGCCTTGATATGTGTAGTTATTTTGCACTGTAAGGCTGTGAAATTATATCACTTCAATAACAAATGTCGAAAAGATGGCGTCAAATCTTATTAAGTGAAACTTCGAATAATTTTGCAAATGGTTTTGTTTTTTTAAAAGCGCACTTAACTAGTTCAAGCAGCATATATTTTGTTAAAAATTTGGTAAAAAGTGCTCATAAATCAATAAATCATTTGTTTGGGGAACTGTGTTCCACTTATGCGCAGCTACCGTAACTCAACTACGCAGAGGTTCGCCGCTTAAGTCTTTCGTTTGCCTTTACAGACATGCCAACCGTGTAAAACTGATTGTGTTAAGGCATGAAAAATTCGTTTGCAAATGAATATAAATAATATACAAACAAAAATTTGTTGGAAAAAGTAACTGTGACATGCTATTTATTGCATGGCTGTGCGCCGAAAATGAGCTGCGAAGAAAGGTTAAGCATTTTAACATCTCAAGACGAATGGCTTGTCAAATTAAGCGCCATGCATGTCTCGTATATCATCTGGGGCGCCGCTGAGTGAGACACAAGTGTATATAAAAGTGGTTGAAAATAGTGTTTGTTTTTATAAAATTGTTTGCTAGAGAGGGGAAAATAAAAGTTGCTTAGCTGTTGGTGTTTACAGTTTATCTTTTAATTACTTCTGCTGCCGAGTTTTGTACAAATAATAACTGTAAGTTGCTGTGAATGCTGAAATGAAAGAGGCTAATTTTGAGCTAAGCATTTACTTTTTTTTGTAAGCGCGTTAAAATTACAACAAACAAATGTATACTAATCAGCATGCTTTGACATGTTTGCACTTTGGTTTGCTGCGTGATTTTTCTTACTTTACTTTAGATTTGCTAATATTTTTTCCAATACAATTAAAAGCTGAGGAAATTGTAGGCGGCAAAGTTAAAAAAAAATTATAAAAAATATAATTTAAAAAAAAAACTATTTTAATTTAGTTATAGAAAGATGTATTCTTATATATATATATATATATATATATGTATATCAAAAATAGTAAACATATTTTAATATTTTATAAAAAATTCTATTATTCAAAAGAAATTAAATAATGTAAAATAATTACTGTTATAATAATATTCATTTTTTTTCAACATCTGAATAAAAATGTATACTTTTAAGCCAACAACTATCAAGTTCTATAAGCAAAGTAAAGACCACAATTTATAATTATTTAACTTGTCTTTCACTTGTTGTTGTAGAATGCTTGTTGCTTAGATGTTTTGCACTGTATGCGCTTGAACTATAATATTTTTTTTTTGAAAATTTACTGAATACGCCAGTGTTACCAGAGTTTTACAATAGAAAGGATTAAATAACAATAAAAATATTGTTGAAAATAGAGTTTATTTAATATTTTTTTTGTTCAAGCAAATAAATCGAAAAGTGCTTTTAAAAAATTATAGAACTGTAAATTTAATGGTTGAATAGTAATACGGTAAAAAATAAAAAAAAAAAATAAAATTTTTTTTATTTAATTGTTGTGGGTAAGAACACTGTAAATTTTGTAATAAATTGTTGAAAATTTAAAAAAAGTGTTTTGAAAATTTTTTGAAGAACTAAATATTATAAATTGTATTTCTATACCAATTTGGTTTTTTGAGTTCGCCTGCTGCAATGAGCAATTATTTTTTTAAAAACACATTTTGCCTTGTTCCACGAAATATATAAAAATAAATTGACCTTTGCGCTGGTTTTCAAAAGCAAACCCTTTTCACACATTTTCCTCAATGATGTCCTTTAAAAACTCTAAATACTTTTCAGCATACAAATTGCTGGCAGCACTGTGAGGCACTTGCTCATTTTCGCAAATAAAATATATTTTCAAATACTTTTTTTTTTTCAATAAATTATTTTGAAAACTGTTCTTTTTTATTGGCGTACCTTCATTTTGTATATTCACTTGTTTGGGTTTTGAATTATCACACACAAAAGTTGTTTAGCTACTTAGCTGTTTGTTCTTCTTGCGAAGATGGTTGAATTGAATTTGATACTGAAACAGTTTCGTAGGCCAGTATTTATATTGTTTGAAACAAATAGTAGTGCAGCTAGCAGTTAGCTGTTAACAGCTAGCAGCAGACAGCTGGCTGCGGCAGGCGAAGAGGCTGCCGAAAGCGTTGGCCCAAAGTGGCAGACGCGACAGACGCGGCAGAGGCATGAACAAGTGCCGCCACATGGAGGGGTGAAAGGGTGCTGAGGTGGCCGAGCATAGGGTAGAGCAACAGATAACATTAAGAAGGCAAAATTGCGCGCCAAATTTTTCAAAAACTACAACAAAAAGGCAGGCAACACAACAAACGAGACAACTTAGAAAATCAACTTGTGCTTGGGTCGGCATACAAGCAAGCAAAAATTAATTGTATCCGGAGAGCAAATGAGCAAAAATTTTGTAGAAACACAAATGTGCAACAACAAAAAGCATAAAATGAAAAAGTAAGCGGCGCAAATGCAAGAGCACACTAACGCTGAGGTGGCGCAGATCGAAGTGGCAAGCGGCATAAATGAGTTGGAGCCGTTCGAAGAGCGCTGGCGGCTGCAGCGAGCGCGGGAACATTAGCTACAACAGCAACAACAACAGCTGCAACCTAACGAATGAAGAAGCAACAATAATGACTGCTGAGCTCACAGCTAATGCGAGTTGTTAGTGCTTTTGCCACTGCCACTGCGAATGCTGTTGTTGCTGTTGCTGTTGCTGTTGTTAGCATCGTCAAAACAACAGTCAAAGGTACAAAACAATAAACACTTGAATAATAGTTGGCGGCAACAACACTAAAAGTCATTCGTAAATGTACGCAGCAACACAATGAGCGCTGCTTAAAGGCGCAACAACAACAACAAGAGCAAATAAAGCACGCTGCCGCTTGGTAATGATGTCGCTGATGCAGAGCAATAAACAGTTACTATTATAGTCGAGCGTTGCTGGCCATTACTGTTGCTGGCATTTTCGTTTCAGTTTCAGTTTTGGTATTACGTGAGCCACACACACTCACACACATACGCGGCCTCCACTTGGCAAATATGCTACCACGCCAATGGGTGCGAAATGTTTTGCGTTTTGTGCAGGAAACACTGTTATTTTTATGCATTGCGTTAAGGGGCTTGTTGTTGGTATCGTCGTGCGGCGGAGGATGCGGCGAAAGGCGTTTCTAATGCGTGCGATCGCGAAAATTCCTTCAAAGTCTTCGCACAGCCATAAAATTTGATGTGCTTTTGTTCAATATAAGAGAGGTTTTATTGAGAATCTCATTAAAAGGATTGGTGTTGTTTTGAAATAAAAAATTTTTTTTTGTTGTGGTACATATTAGTTGCTCATGAATAGAGTTCGAGTTCGATAGACATTTGAATTCTTTTTCTGAAAGTAATTTTGGCAAAAAAAGGACCAAATGCATGTAATTATTTTCTAAGCAAGAGCATAAGCCGATCATCAGCTTAATAGGTTTAAATAAATGTTTCTTTAGAGAACACTATAATGTGGCATCTATGGCTCAAAGAAGGTGCGAAGTAAGAAGTTAACGGCGAAAAAATTCAAACTTTTGTTGATTTGGCAGAATTCTAATTTTTTTTATCGATTCAGCGGTTCAACATATTTTTTTTTAGACAAAATTTCAAAATTTCAGTGTAGAATAGAATAAATATATTCTTATAGCAGACAAAACAGAACATTTCTTGAATAATCATTAGATGCCACACAGGCAACATGAGCACGCAGGACTCATAAAACCATCAGCATGCAGCAAAAGCATTATTTCCTTCGTCGCTTGAGACAAAAGCCAGCATAAATGCCAAATGCCGATGAAAAAAACACATATTCGCCATATGAGCGCCACCAATGTATGCATGTATGTGTGTCTCTACGTACAGCGCCTTACATTTGATAATGAGCTTTACACAGTTTTTAATTTGCCGAGTGCGCTCGCGTGTAAAAGCAACCGAGCTACGATGCATGTGTATGTGGTAGTGGCTCAGCAGAATGCTCATTCAACGTTCCAACGCCGCTTAGCGGCAAATGTGCTGTTATTGTTGCCACCAGCAAAGCATAGAAACAGCAATTAGTAAAGCAACACTAACATGCAGCAAAGCGGCTTGCGCTGCGCCTGTTGTTGTTTTAGTTGTTTTGCCTGCTAACAAATTATAAGTTTCATTCATTTGTCATTAATGTGCTCCAACTGCATGTTGTTGTTGCTGCTTTAGCTTTATATTGCTGATGCTGCTGTCTCGATTGTGTTGCCGCAAAGTTTTCATGCTCATAGCTTCGTCGCGAGCGAAACTAGTGCACAGCTGACTGTTTGCGATTTTATGTGTACTCTCGCAGCTTGTTGGAAATTATTTTTGGTGCTCGGCTGGCGTGCCCAAGCGCTCTTTCTTACTTGAAATGCTGTGCGCGCGTCGCAGCTTGAGCGCATGAAGCTGTGGTATTTCACTCATACGCCATGTGCGCCACAAACGTTGTTAAACGGTGTCAGCGCTATCAGTCTTGCCGAGTTGCTGACACAGTTTGGAGCTGCCATTACAGCAAGAAGTAAATATTGCTAAGGCTCGTTTAGTGCAGTTAGTGCTCTAAGCTCACTAGTTTAGTGACGAAAAATGGAAAGCAAGCTGTTTTGCAGAAGCATTGATAAACGTAGTTTTGGCTGGGGTTGCTATCACAAAAAAAATTATTTTTTGTGAATATATTTTTTCACTAAATTGGTAAATGGTTAAAACGGTTAAAATTCTTTTTTTGCAATAATTTTTTTTTTTTTTAATTACAAACTAATTTTTGTGTCACATCGGTGAATTTTTTTTTCCAAAATATTTTTTGCCAAATATTTTTTTTTGTAAAATTCACTAGCAAAATAACTTATATTGTTTGTAAAATTTTTTGGGCAAATAATCATAATTAAAATGCAAATAACTTTGTTTTTATAATATTTTTTTATACATAATAATTAAATTTTTATATTTTTTTTAAATTAATTTTTAAATTTTAATGAGTTTCGGAAAGCTTAAACGTCATTCTTACAGTTTTACAAAAAAAAATCGCAATATTTGTATTTTTCTTTGCTAAATGCTATTTTGAAATTTTGACATTCTAAATTTTCGCAGCCACGCATTCACACGCTTCCTTATGTCACACGCGTGCATTGAAGCACAAATCCGCACGCTTATTGCCACAAATTGCAAAGAGCGCATGCGTGCGCCTCAAAAATATGCATAAGTGCAAATAGATCATTTAAAATACATTTCATTTTATATTAACCGCAAAACGCTCATTTGTGCCGCCAACGACACGCAATGCCTGCGCCTGCAACATAACAATGGATGTCATAAAAAACGTATAAATATTTGTGCTGAGCAAATAAGCGAAGAGGGTGTTGAGGCCGCCACACTGCGCATGCCAGCAGCGACCAAACAATAACGGTTTATTGTGCTTTCAACTGTCGGCGCCGGCTGCACATCGTGCGGTGTGCGGTTATGCGTGCGAAGTGTAATTCGAGTTGGCGCACAAAAGACTTAAGCAACGAACTTGACTGTGCTCGATGCGGTTCTAAGCGCAGCTTGGCAAATATTGACGAAAAATATAACAAAATATGCCACAAAAAGCGACGAAAAGCGACGAAAATGAAATGTATATGTATAAAATTGCAAAATTTTGCGAGAAAAACTGATTACTGGTAAACAATACTAATAGGCAACAACAACTACTCAAAGAACGCAATCATTGCCGGACAGACGTTAATTTGATGCAATTTGCACACAAAGTGTATGCAGAGATTTGGCAGCAACTGAAGGCGCTGGCAGTTATGGCGGCAGCAATCATTATTTTGGCGGCTGCGCGCGATGCGTCTCGCATTGAGAATAAAAATTGAAAATTTTGCAACTGCCTAAAATAAATTCGCAAAAAGATTGAAGCATTCAAAAGAAATAAATGCACGTACGCGCGTGTTTTTTTATACTACTAATGAATGGCTGGCTGCTGCGGCAGTCGCAACAACAATGCGCAGCACAATCACCGATCGCAGACACACGCTGTCAGTGCATCGATTGAAGACGAGTGCGCCGTTGAGTTGGCAGCCTTTTTGGTTGCAAACTACGTTCATATGGCCACAGCCGCTCTTGCAGCTGTTGTTGTACACTTCGATCTGTACCATTGATCGTTAATGATGGGCGCGCGGCGGTAGCGGTGTGCTTAGCGCAACAGTCGGTGGCTGCTCGACGGCTAGTCGCAGTTAGCGCGTGGCTCACCCGCTGCCGGTCATTCTTGGTACGCTTCGCTACGTCGACTGAAGGTTTGGCTATTTTAAGGCGCGCAAACCAAATGAGATTTTAGCAGTCCACTGTGCTGCCGTTTTTTGCTACATTTTGTAAGTTTTTCAAATTGAAATTGTAAATGTAAAAAAGCGAAAAGCAGTGGCATTGTGCAATGCGGCGTGGAATTGTTTATGAATCGCAAGGGTGTTTGCATGCTGATGAGTTCATGCGCTTCTCGCCGGGTTACTGTAACATGCTCTAGACTCTTTGTTGCTCGGAAGTCACAGTCAAAGGCCGCTTAGCGCAGAGCACTTTTGCTCGAATTTAGCAGTTTTTTTATTTTTATGTCTAATTTTTTGTTGTTTCCACTAGCGTTCTATGGCAGATTTTGTGCTGTTATGATTTTATGAGCAACACTAGCGTTTGTATGTGTGTTGGCTGTTGCTTGTATTGCACCGTTTTATTGTTCTAGACAAAAAATTTATGAGCACATTTTATAGCCTCTACCGCTTTGCGAAATTTCGCTGGCATGATACCTAGGCCAAGTTGCAAGTGTGCACATGTTCACATATATATATATGTATATATCGCATGCGGCAGTTTGACCCAGCTGCGTCAAAGTAATAGCTATAAAAAATTACTTAATAACTATAAGAATTCCTAATTATCCATGGCTATAAACACATTTACATTAATATTAGTTGTATTGCGGTGTGGTAATATTTTAAATATAAACAAATTAAGTTTTGCTATTAGATTAGATACATGTGGGCATCGTCACACGATCTTCAACATTTG